AGCCGTCCATCCGCTGTCTCTTATACACATATAGATGTGTATAAAAGACAGAGTTTATATATATATATATATAATAGGTAAATAATAGGCCTAATAGTGCTCGAACAGGAAACAACATGTTATAGTCGTATCAAGCATAGCCCTTTAACAAAAAGTTCCTTTATTCAGTTATATGAAAAAAGTGTCTCTGGTGGGATTCGAACCTGTAACCCCTCGCTATCAAGGCGAGTACCATACTTATTAAATCACGCACGAAGACAAGATATGCGTCCAGATCTAACTCCCGGGCACTTCCTCTCACTCAACTGACTGAAACGATCACACATAGTGGAGCTATGGTTAAGCAAAAAAAAAAAGGTCGCAGTTTGGAAAGTAATATAAAAATATACTATGAAACCATTCACCATTGACGTAGTGATATATTGTAATAAATACGTTTCACTTGTTGAAAATTTGTATATACATGAATTGTGTACCAAAGTTACACTATGCTATTTTATTTTAAATCTTTGCATTTTTTAGACTATTATGAACCGTACTTACATAAGTGAATGTCGCCACTTCTTCCCTTAATATCTTATATATTAGCCAGCGTCTCTTGATATAATACACCTGCCCATTTAGTAATTCATTCACGTAATTTCCAAAGTATATTGGAATAATAAAGCATTGTCTATCGTACATCGAACATACTATGTAGTAGTATGTGTGGTACAAAATATGATTTATAAGATCTAACTTACTTTAAAATGGCTGCGGTTGTCAGTTGTTTCGTTCTCTCTATCTTATTTCTATATTGAGATGCAACCAAGTAGCCTCTAGGGCGTTCATAAATGGTCTTACTCCTCTTTTTCTTGGATATACATAATCCGTTGCTAGAGACACTGGGTGGTTGAGCAAGGAATGTTAGATGAATCGTATACAAGACATGTCTGTCTGTTTGAGTTCGTTTCCATCGATCCCTAATGTTGTATATTGCACGACCGGACGTTTAATGTCGAATCGGGTTGGTTAACTATATCACAGATCAAATTTATTGTATACTGCGCCCTCTACAATAAGTGCACTCGAATCCATTTTTTTCTAAGCCAATGTCATAATTATTTTATTAAATGAGATTCTTGACTTTTGAAGTCAGTAACTAGCGGATCAAGAAACTCAATATATGGAAGGTCCAGTCCACTAAAGCCCCTCCATTGTTGGCACTGAGGTAAGAACATTTATACATTAATGCTATGGCACTTCATGGTTAAAATGACATTCTCAGATTTTAATGTACCGTAGTTTTACCCCGTTTCTTGAATTGTTATTTAAAAAAGAATTTCAAATTACAGTTCCCAATATTATTTCTGATTTATACAGAGATAATGATGAATGAAGCAATAGATGATTGAGGAAGGTGTAAAGGTTGATGTTAGATTGGCAATGGTAGCAAACAAAGAAAGCAGCCTGTAGAGGATAATGGAAAGAGTGGAGGAAGTGGCTAAAGAACATGATATGAAGATTAACGTGAAGAAGACTACGGTTATGAGGATTTCAAGGCAAGCTGGAGGAGTGATGAACATCTACCGTGGACAAAGAGTGAAGCAGGTTAAACAATTCAGATACTTGGGTGGTCTGTATGGACTTTGTATGGAGCAGAGACATGGACACTGCTGAAGGAAGATGTTAGACGGCTGGAAGCTTTCGATATGTGGGTGTTGAGACGAATATAGGAAGTTTGTAGGACTGAGAGAAAAAACAAATGAAGAGGTACTAAACAATATAGAAGAAAAAAGAGCATTAATGGCAGTTAATAGAAGTAGAAAGAATTGGATTGGTCATGTTTTAAGGGGGAGAGAGTTTGTTGAAAGAAATCAGAGAGGGACGAATGGAAGGGAAAACAACAAGAGGAAGAAAGAGGAGAGGGATGATAGACGATTTAAAGGACACAGATGACTTATGTGGAAATGAAGAGAAGAGCGGAGGACACATGCCATTGGAGGAGTTGGCAGCCAAGGACCTGCCTGACGACAGAACACTAAAGAAGAAGTTGATTGATTGGTTGATTCAGTGATACATTGATTCATAGATGATTTGACTTTATATGATCACAATCCCAAATTCGGAAAAGAAAGTCATATATTCGTTTTTTTTAATTCATTTTCTTTATTCATTTTATTTTATTTTCAACCTAATACAAGCAAAAATGACAAAATAAAAGAGGCTGTGGAGCAGGCGCTGTTGAGTGATAAGCTAAAATAAATTGTCATCAAGAGATGTGCTCATCCAATCCCCTGCCAACAAAGACAACACCTCATGCAATTATACAATTCAACAATTACAAAGATTATACCAAAATATAAACAAAAAATGAAGAAATACCAAAAAATTACCACATAATTGCATAGAATTGTCAATAAATCAATAAATATATTTAAAAAAAATAAATTATAAAATTACTGTAAAATCGTCAAACCGGTATACAAAAAAAGTGAAAGATTTAATTTAACTGACATAAAATAAAAACCGTATTCATCTATCCATCCGTCTATCAATTTACCCATTCATCCATCAATCCGTTTTCGTCTATCCGTCCATCTACCAATCCACCCATCCGTCCTCTCGTCCTTCTGTCCAATTATCTATCAATCTATCCATCCGTCTATCCGACCGTCGATCCAATAATCCATCTTTCATTTTCCTTCCTTCCCGTCCATTCATCCGTCCTTCCATCCATCCATCTTTCTGTCCAACCATTAGTCGGTCTGTCCATCCATCATTTTCCTTTTTCTTTGGCCCATCCCCTCGTTCTTCCGTTCGTCCGTCCGGTCGTCCGTCCGGAGGTCTGTCTGTTCGTTTGTTCATTTCATTCGTTCCTATATTGATTCATCCATCTATCCATCAATCCTTCCTTCCACCTTTCCGTCCAGGCATCTGTCCGTCCGTCTATCCATCCATCCTTTCTTGCACCCTTCCGTCCATGCATCCGTCCGTCCGTCCATCCATCCTTTCCTTCCATCATTCTTTCCATTAATTTATCATTCCAGCCGTCCATCCGTCCGTGCGTCCATCAGTTCATTTGTATGTTCTTACTACTTTTCATGTCATATTTCTGATCATTCATTCAAACAGCGTGACGTTTTAAAACTAAAAAAAAGTAGATACCGTATACAGTAGAAGCCCTACAACTAGGTATAGATTAAAAGACTCGTTCTTTGATTTAGTTGCTTAAACAATATACTGTAAATAAGATGAATAATAGTTCACACAAAATAACTTCCTCGTCTTGGTTGTTTTGGGTCATCTACTGTCTCAACGACAACGCTAAAATGAGCAGAAGGCGCACTAGGTCTGCGGCCTTTCTGTGACGAACGTCTGGGTGTTCTCGTTTGCAGAAAATTATTATAAATTCTTGTACTTTCATCAAAAAATCGTTCCCTATTTTGTAAATTATGTATAAACGGAGAATGTTCATCTTCGTCACAACTGCTACTATCGCCGTCGGCACTTTCGATTAGAGTGTCGTTCGGATATGTAGACCCGCATTCGCCGTTTGTATAGATATTTCTCTTTAGATGGAATGTTTGCGTTTTGGGCAATTCGTCAACAGTTTGTGAAGCTTTACCTTGATTCATAATTTCACGTTGATCGACATAGTTTTGTTCATGTACACTATTTGTTCGGTCATTAGCCAACGAACTTTCAACTTCTTGTTCGAGTATAATATGTGGGAGAACATCTCGAGGCTTATCCTTTCTTTGTCTTCTAATCGAATCCCGTTTCTCCGAAACTTTTTCTAATTGCATTAGGCTTATGTTGTCATTGTTAGGATGTTTACACCGTTTACGGTGTTTTAGATGAGACAAAATGGGTGATTCGCCACCACCTGTAGTGTATCTATTAATATTGCTAATCTTTCGTAAAGCTAGTTGTCTGCTTCTGTAAAGGCCGGTTTTTTTGCATTTACACATTAAAAGTCTCTTGAACGCATTTCTAAAAGATTGATTCGAATAGGCGTAGATGAACGGATTCAAGAAACTATTACAATATCCCAACCAGGTGCAGGTATCAATCGTCTTAGCCGAAATACAACCAGTGCATATTGTACCTGGAAAAGAAAGACACAGTTTGTAATCCTACTTTTATTTTTTATTTTAATAATGTCCAGGTAAAAGCAATACAAGACGAAACATACCGTACAACAAACAGGATGCTCATGAGAATTGCCAAAAGTGCAATCACTATCAAGTGGATCTCATATCTAAACATATTGGCAGATAGATATACATTAAAACCAATAAATGAGTTTTACATAGTTCAGAAAAAAAAACCAAATATTTTTATTCAAATTGTAACATTAATATAAAATGTCAGTAAAACAATTTATAGAGAATATATTGAATTGTAAAATGAATTTTTAAAACAACTATCTAGAATAAGCATTCCTATTTCAAATTCAGATTGTTTGCCATAAACGAGGAAAATTGATAAAAATCGAGTTCTTAAAAGAATTTTTCCTAGCGAACTTGTGTTTAAAAATTACAGATTCAAGATGACGGTTATTAATCTCAATAAAATCAAAGATGTTAAAATTAAAATTATAAAGACAATTAACAATAAAAACAATTAAAGATGGAGAAACTTATTAAAGATGAACAAACTCTAAAACACAACTTTTAATGCAAACAAGATAATATAAAATTACAAACCCTCGCCCTGTTGCGCCATAACTATTTACGCCTACTGAAAAGTAGACCCGCGGTCTATCCGCTTGAGTTAGCTCGGCCTGGTCAAACGAGGCCTAGCAAGCGTATATCAATCGGGCGAGTAGGCCTAGGGCTACACCGGGCCGGACCGCTTCCAGAATTTGACATCCCTCCCCACCTCCCTGGCCCGCAGGTCGAACGATACACTTGAGTTGGCTCTGCCTGTTGCGACCGGAAAATATGTAAATAGAATTCTAAATCTGCATCTTTCTTCCGATCAGCACCAAATTTGAGGAACGGAACACATGCAACTCTCAATGTGTAAAAAGTCCAGTAGGTTTTGTGTTATGTCCCCAGAAGGACACGCAGACACAGAGTCACACACACAAACGCATGATTTTGTATTCGGAGAGACAAGGGTAATAATAAGTCAACTTCTCATGACATCCCAATGAAAAGAATTTAGTTTCTGGTGATTTATAAACTTTTACATGAAGCTTCTTAATAAGCCTACAAAATACCAACATTTAAATATACCTCGTTGTAAATTCAGGAAACTCCCTCAAAAATATATAATTTTAATGACTATAAATATTTCAAGATAGGTCTATTAACAATACTTACTTAAAGGAAAGAGAATGAAAAACGGCAACCAGCATATTATGAAACCGCCAACAACGATTCCGAGAGTCTTTGCTGCCCTCTTTTGACGGTTGAACGAAGCAACTTTTTGAGAGAAACTTCTTGATTTGACAAAGTTCTTTCTCGATGCTGTCTTACGATTGGCTGATATGCTGACGTGTATTCGTAGGGTAACAGAACCAGCGCCCTCATTGGCGATCACGTACGTCTTCTCACCAGCCTTTATTGCTTTGGTTTGTTTTCTAACTTCGCGATAAATCCGATAGTACATTATGAGAACGATAACGAGCGGTATATAGAACGAAATGGATGTTGAAAACAGACCATACTCCATAGAATCTGTCATAGGACACTGTTTCGAATCTCGTTTTGGCCGCCATCCAAATAAAGGACCACATGCTACACCAAAAGCACAAGCCCAACTCAATCCGATTGTTAATAACGTTTTCTTTTTTGTCATTATAAGATGGTGCTTAAGTGGCCTTGTAACACCGATATACCGATCGATTCCAATGCAGCATAGACCGAATATAGACGCAGTAGAACACAAAACATCCGTTGCTGCCCATATGTCACAAAATGGGTCACTAAAATCCCAGCTCTCCATTAATATTTGGTAACCTGCAAAAGGTAAAACAACTACACCGAGCAGCAAGTCCGCAACAGCGAGATTTACAATGAAGCAAACCGTAGTCGTTCGCAAAGCCCTGTCTGTAAACACAGCCAAAAATATCAAAATGTTACCAAAAAGAACTAGAAAATTTACTAAAAATATGCCGGCTATCTTCAAGAAAACATTTGCACCAATATCAGATTGAGAACTATCAGAAGTGGTCGTCGAGTTCAATAACGTCACGTTCATGAAAGTAAATTCCGATGTAAGCGGATCAGAATTCCGGTAAGAGGTGTCCATCACTGTGGCCTTCGTAGAACCGGACATTTCTAGAAAAATAAGTAATAAAATATCTTAACTTACGCTGTCCATATCATACTATATAAATTTACACGTTTTGATTACTTTTAGAAATCTTTAATTTACCAACCAAATGGAAGTTTTTTAAACAATAACACGTACTTCGGAATTTTTGTCGTAAAAGGTGTTCCGTCACACACCTGACGTCATGATAGAATTCCAGCACAAATTGACCATTCCACATCGGCTAAGTGAGTGGTCACTGAGCCGACAGAGTACGGTACAGATGCTGCGTGATTGAATATATTTCACAAACGTGAGCTTGTGCAAACCGAGACAAATAGTTATACTTATAATAGTAGTCTCACGTGCAAACTAAATTTATGATAGTATTTCAAATTTAACATTAATTAATTGTCTAACAGGAAAAGAATTTCACAATTGAGTAAAACATAAATTCATAAATATATGCATGATCACAGTAGATCAATATACATTTTTTAATTGTTCATTTACTATACTTATTTACCTTGACATTGTCTTTTAAACCACAAATTTAATCACTCCTTCTTTACAGTAAATTACCACTCTATAAAATTTTATGATGATCCATTCATTAGTTGCGTAATCCTGCTAACGACAGACAGCAATGAATACGGTACATGACATCCTTAGCTAATGTAAGGAGTGTGGTCATATGCAACTCTACCTCGTCAAATTGCATTCTTCGAGGCCTACTACAGTATATAGCCCTGTGTTTTAGGTTTTGCAATTTATAAGCTCTCAATTTGTGTCTATTGCCCCTTTGGGGGAAATAGACATATTGTTATCATCTGGCAGTTGAACTTGTAAGAGTAAATCCGGTGGAGGAATGATGGGATGGGTCATGAGCTAAAGATAAAAATGAAAAGCAAGTCTACGAAATATAATGTCATGCTAGATAAGACCCGTTCTAGTTAATTTATCAAGCGAATTGCCAACAAAGAAAGCTCCTAGATAAGACCTGTCCTAGGAAGTTCACTAAAAAGTCACTGAAAGCTTGGACGAGTAAACAAAATAGCCAAAAACAAACTTGTAAAACAATAAACACACGCTTCCGCAGGGAGCTTATTTTTTGATAAATGTTCATTGTAAGATAAGATAAGACGTACGTCATGAGCTCAAGCAATGGTGAACATGAATTTTGGTCTTTCATCGGATGTTACATTCAACTACGTTTAGAAGTCAACAAGTACCGGTATAAAACTCCAAAAGGACCGTTACACGCGATTCCGCGTTAAGTGTCAATCAATTCAATCATTTTTTCTAACTTTAGCAACGAGGGAAGGGGCAGGGGGCGGATCCAGAGATG